GGATGCCGAGAGCCATGCGACCGCAACGCCCCATCTCGCGCCGCGGATACGGCCCGGCCGAGGCCACAGGAACCGCCGGACAAAATGCCCGTTGTTCTGGGGGAAAACACACAACTTTGATCAGTGGAGGTTTCCAATTGCTGGTAACGTTCACCCAGTGGGACAGCGTCTGCTCGGACCCAGACAGACCCTCGGTTCGAAACTATTTAATATTTTAAATCAATTAACAGATATATTTGGAAATCTATTCACTTTGTAACCTACTTACGCTGTGATTTGCTGATACATTTTTAATGAGAATGTTATGCAATTGCTAAATAAATCCCCTTCCAGAAGTTAATTGGCCAGGATCTATTTTCCATTAAAACTGGGCTGAAGCATTAATTTCTGTTATGAGCTTTGAGATCTTCATTGACTGAGCCATGTAGGAGACCTTTTTTGTGTGTGTGTATATCCATATGTGGGATGAAAACGAAGCAGCTCACCGCTAACGACCCGGGTCATCTCTTGGTTGCTTAAGGGGACACAGGCCTGCTTTGAGACACCATCATGGAATGGTTTGGGTGGGAAGGGACCTTAAAGATCACCCAGTGACACCCCCTGCATCGAGCAGGGCAACCTGCCCCAGGGGATCACCCCCCGCACAGGAGAGAATGTCTTCCTCACATCTAATCTCAATCTCCCCTCTTTCATAACTACTCATTGTGCCCTGTCTGGATGAGCGGTGGCAATGGAGGGTTTCCGTCCGCAGGGCAGCCCAACGCTGTGTGCCTCTGCTCCAGCTAACGAGAAGGTTCACTGGAGATGCTGTTGGTGCAATTTTCAAATGTCCATAATTTCTGAAGGCAAAAGGAGCTGCCTATTTTAAACCACCACCGACAACAAGGCTCCTCACGCAGAGCGCCGCCCAGCCGAGCTCTCGCTAAAGCCTTTAGCCACGTTCACTGTATATTCACAGGGGGTGGGACTCAATGATCTTCAAGGTCCCTTCCAGCCCAAACCCTTCTATGATTCTATAACAGATTACAGCGGCAGAAGCTGACGTGCTCTTTCCAGCGATCCCAGCCATGCGGAACACCAGATCTCCAGGGAGCGCTTGCGCTGGGGAAGCTGCCACAGCACGGCAGCGGGACACAGACCTCCCAGAGCCCGTCCTGCCGGATGTGGAAGTGGTCAGTAATCAGCATTTTACCTAGGTCTGCTTGGAGTGAAGGCAGTGACCGGGGTGTCCCTCAGCCGAGGTGGTGGCAGGGCAGTGGGGCTCCTGCTGCGACGTGCCCGGCGCCGTCCCGGCACAGCCCAAGCGCCATGATGCCGTCCCTGAGGAGCTGGGTGGGAGGCAAGGCCAATGCTCTGCTTTGCGTGGCTTCTGGAAAGCACTGGTCACCTCCTCCTCACCGCTCTGGCCTGACCCGCTGCTCCGAGCTCTGTCAGCCACACTGCTCCGGCACCGACACTCCAGTGAGGGTGTGACATCCCCCAGCCCAGGAGAAGCTTTCTTCAGGTACAAACAAAAATATTTAGGTACAAAACCCCCACAACACTCTGAGTCCCACCTTCAGTTTCCAGGACTGAAAAGTCCTATAGAGGACTTGTGGGGGATGTGAGGGTTGGAGGCCGTCTTGGGCACCGTGATCATGAAATAATAAGAGGTTTTGATTCTTGCAGAAGCAAGGAGGGGGTCAGCAGGACTGTCACCTTGGGCTTCTGGAGGGCGGACTTTGACTCGCTCAGGAGCCTGGTTGACAGAGTCCCTTGGGAAGCAGTCCTCAAGGGCAAAGGAGTCCAGGAAGGTGGGACGTTCTTCAAGAAGGAAGTCTTCAAGGCACAGGAGCAGGCTGTCCCCATGTGCCGAGAAATGAGCCCTTGGGGAAAAACACCAGCCTGGCTGACCAGAGAGCTGTGGTCACAACTCGGGGGAAAAAGGAGAGTTTATGGCCTTTGGAGGTAAGGGCAGCCACTCAGGAGGAATATGAAGACGTCATGAGGCTGCGTAGGGAGGAAATGAGATGGGCCAAAGCCCAGCTAGAACTTAACCTGGCTACTGCAGTGAAGGAGAATAAAAAGTTTCCATAAATACATTACCAATAAAAGGAGGACTAAGGATAATCTCTGTCCTTTAGTAGATGGGGGTGGAAACAGCGACGAAGGATGAGGAAAAGGCTGAGGTACTTAATGCTGCCTTTGCCTCAGTCTTTAACAGTAAGACCACTTGTTCCCCGAGTACTCAGCCCCCTGAGCTGGGAGACAGGGGTGGGGAGCAGGATGAAGCCCCCATAATCCATGAGGAAATGGTGAGGGACCTGCTCCAGCACCTAGACATATGCAAGTCTATGGGGCCAGATGGGATCCAGCTGAGGGTACTGCAGGAGCTGGTGGAAGGGTTCATCAAGCCACTGTCCATCGCTTATCAGCAGTCCTGGCTAACCGGGGAGGTCCCAGCTGATTGGAGGTTGGCAAACATGACGCTCGTCCACAAGAAGGGCTGGAAGGAGGATCCAGGAAACTACAGGGCTGTCAGTCTGACCTCGGTGCTGGGGAAGGTTTTGGAGCTGATCATCCCGAGTGTCATCACACAGCACATGCAGGACAACCAGGGGATCAGGCCTGGTCAGCATGGCTTCATGAAAGGCAGGTCCTGCTTGACAAACCTGATCTCCCTCTGTGACAAGGTGACCCACTTAGTGGATGAGGGAAAAACTGTGGATTTTGTCTACCTGGACTTCAGTAAAGCCTTAGACACAGCTTCCCACAGCATTCTGGAGAAACTGGCTGCTCATGGCTGCTCAGGGCTCGGGTGGGTAAAAAACTGGCTGCGTGGCCGGGCCCAGAGAGTGGTGGTGAATGGAGTGAAATCCAGTTGGGAGCCAGTCACAAGTGGTGTCCCCCAAGGCTCGGTGTTACGACCAGTTCTCTTTTAATACCTTTATCAACGACCTGGATGAGGGGATGGGGTGCAGGCTCAGGAAGTTCACAGATGACACCAAGTTGGGTGGGAGTGTCGACCTGCTAGAGGGTAAGAAGGCTCTGCAGAAGAATCTGGACAGGCTGGATCGATGGGCCAATGGTATGAGGTTCAACCAGGCCAAGTGCCAGGTCCTGTGCTTGGGTCACATCAACCCCATGGATCGCTTCAGGCTTGGGCAGGAATGTCTGGAAAGCTACCTGGCAAAGAAGGACCTGAGGTGTTGGTTGACAGCCGGCTGAACACGAACCAGCAGTGTGCCCAGGTGGCCAAGAAGTCCAATAGCATCCTGGCCCGTATCAGGAACAACGCGGCCAGCAGGACCAGAGATGTGATTGTCTCACTGTACTCAGCACTGGTGAGGCACCACCTCAAGTGCTGCATTCAGTTTTGCGTCCCTCACGACAAGAGAGACATGGAGGGGCTGGAGCGTGTCCAGAGGTCAGCAGAGCTGGTGAGGGGTCTGGAGCACAAGTCCTGTGTGGAGCGGCTGAGGGGCCTGGGGGTGTTGAGGCTGGGGAAA